TAATGACTTTTGTTAAATTACACTGTACTTTCTTAACTATTGAAGTTTTTAATAATGTAAGCTCATCTCGATGTTACACTCATCAAGAGCTTTTATTTGACTATCCGCATGCATTTTAAATATATTTTTCATATATATATATATAATATATATAAATATATGAAAAATTGATGTGGGTACTCAAATGAAAGGTCTCGATAAGTGTAACGTCAGGGTGAGCTTTTTTTTTTTTGGGCGAGAGGAGGGAAATCTTCATAAGACATCGGCTAGATGTTGGAGATATTGATTTCCGGTAGTGTGAGATTCTTACTCACTAAAACCCTCCCCTCTCTTGTACCTGATACTGCGGGACCGCGTTAGCATTACTTCGCAGTACCAGGCCCCCTCCAAGCTACTCTTGTAGCTATTTCCTCCTGTAGCTATTCCTCCTATATAGTCCTGTAACAGGACCCTCCGTTTTTGCGGCTGTGGCCGGCTTACAGTCTGTACCCGCATTTGCTTGTGCCCCGCTTATTTTAGGGGCACAATGGCCGAGGAAAAACCACAGAAACCTGGTCAAGGTACATTCGGCAAGGGAGCAAGCCCCGGAAATTGCAGAAGAAAAATTGCAATTGCCAGGGCTCGAACCCCCGCCTGAGCGACTGCTGTGCGGCAGTCTAAGACTTAAACCGCTCGGCCAAGCAGTCGTCTTGTGTGTGTGTGTGTGTGTTTTTTTTTGGGCGAGAGGAGGGAAATCTTCATAAGACACCGGCTAGATGTTGGAGATGTTGGTTGCCGGTAGTGTGAGATTCTTACTCACTAAAACCCTCCCCTCTCTTGTACCTGATACTGCGGGACCGCGTTAGCATTACTTCGCAGTACCAGGCCCCCTCCAAGCTACTCTTGTAGCTATTTCCTCCTGTAGCTATTCCTCCTATATAGTCCTGTAACAGGACCCTCCGTTTTTGCGGCTGTGGCCGGCTTACAGTCTGTACCCGCATTTGCCTGTGCCCCGCTTATTTTAGGGGCACAATGACCGAGGAAAAACCACAGAAACCTGGTCAAGGTACAGTCGGCAAGGGAGCAAGCCCCGGAAATCGCAGAAGAAAAATTGCAATTGCCAGGGCTCGAACCCACGCCTGAGCGACTGCTGTGCGGCAGTTTAAGACTTAAACCCCTCGGCCAAGCAGTCGCCTATCTTCTCTCGGGTTAAATGGAACAAGTCAATGCTATATATTAAAGGCTACTGACTGATACCAGATACACTATCATTAATACTGATTTATTCTCACTAGTCACCATTTTACTTTAAAAATTTTAATATAATTTTTATATAATCCACTATTATTTATTTTAGTTAAAAACAAAAATTTATCTCTAATATGAAAAAAATTATCTATTAAAATTCTTTCGTAAAAATTAATCTAAATTTTTTGCCACTTATAATAATAATAATATAGAATATATCAAAAATTATCAAACACATGTTTCCAGTTAAAAGAAAATAATAACTGTTTATCTAATTAAAATTTTCAAATAAGGTTGAAATTTTGTTAAACTAGGGGCAATTTTAATTAAGCTACTTTGATTCTGAAATTCATTTTCTAACCCTGTAGTTGCTTATCGGTTTTCATGACTTTAGAGCTCTTGGAGTTCGAAAATATAATGGCTTCTAGAAGACAAGACTTCAAATAATTTTACTCGTTTTCTTTATCCAGGAGTTCCGAGAAGAAAATTTAAGATATATAATTGCTGATCTGTTGGTGTCCTAGGAGAGGTGGTTAGTAGAAAAGAAAAAAATATTTTTAACTAATTTTGTTCAATAAATTTTTTATTCATATTTAAATTTTTTAAAAACTCAAAAAACTAATTTTTTTAATATTTTAATATTTGATTTATTCATGGTTAAATATAATTATGAGACGAATTACTCTCGATAATTATTATACGAAATAAAATTTAAACACTGGATTTGATTTTAATTATAGAAGACAATAATTTGACCTGATTTTGTTCGAATATTTTTTATCTCAAGTTAAAATTTTTTAAAATATATATCAATAAGTTTTGTAAAAATTATTATATTTAATTTATTTATTCTTGAATTTATTGCGACTCATTAATATTGATAATTCTTAAATTAAGCAGAGTTTTAACACTGGACTTGATTTTAATCAAAGAAGACAATGTTTTGAATTCATTTTGTTCCAAAAATTTTTGTCTCAAGTTAATTTTTTTTTAAAATTTATCAAATAATTTTTAAAAAATTACAATATTTGATTTTTTCATGATTAAACATAATGCAACACATTGAATTAATTTCGTATAAGAATTATCAAAATTAGTCACACTCTATTTAAGCGTGAATAACTTAAATATTATAATTTTTTAAAAATTAATTAGTATATTTTTTTTCTAAATTTAAATTTTAAGACAAAAGTTTTTCGACCAAAATGAGTTTAAAATATTGTTTTCTATAATTAAAATCAAGTCCAATTTTAAAACTCTACTCGATGTAAGAATTTAAATTCCATTTGGTTTAAGAATTATCGAGATTAATGAGTCACATTATATTCAAGGATGAATAAAATTAGTTGGTATTGTTTTTAAAAATGTTAACTTGAGAAAAAAACTTTTCGAATAAAATAAGTTTAAAATGTTGTCTTTTATAATTAAAATCAAATCAGGTGTTAAAATTCCGCTTAATTTAATAATAATTATCAAAACTACATAGTCAAATAAAATTTATACCAACCAATTTTTTAAAAAAAATTATAATTTTTGATTTATTTATGTTTGGATTATTGCGACTTATCAATCTTGATAATTTTTAAATCAAGCAGAGTTCTAACATTGGACTCGATTTTAATTACAGGACAATGTTTTAAACTAATTTTGTTCCCAAAATTTTTGTCTCAAGTTTAAATTTTTCAGAACATGTACTAATTAATTAAAAAAAAAAAAATTATATTTGATTTATTCATGCTTAAATATAGTGTGATTTATTAATCTTAATATTTATTAAACCAAGCGAAGTTTTAGAACCTGACCCGATTTTTAATATAAAAGACAAAATTTTGAATTATGTTTGTTCGAAAAATTTTTGTCTCGTCAAAATTTTTTAAACATTTACCAACTAATTTTTTAAAATTTATAATGTTTGATTTATTCTTACTTAAATATAGTGTGACTTATTAATCTCGATAATCCCTAAACCAAGTGGAATTTTAACACTGTAAAATTTTAATTACAGAAGACAATATTCCAAACTTATATTGTTTGAAAAATTTTTGTCTCAAGTTCAAATTTTTGAAAAAATGTACCAACTTATTTTTTAAAAATTATAATATTTGAGTTATTCACATTTAAATAGAGTGTGAGTATTTAATTTCTTTAATTATTAGACCATGCAGAATTTTATCTCCTGACTTGACTTCAATTAGAGGAGTCAACATTTTAAACTATTTTTATTTGAAAAATTTTTGACTTAAGTTTAAATTAAAATAATTTTTTAACAATTATTATATTTGATTTATTCATGTTTAAATATAATGTGACTAATCAATCTCGATAATTCTTATACGAAACGAAATTTAAACATTGGACTTCATTTTAATTCTAAAAGGCAATGTATGAGACGACAATAAATTGAGTGTTTTTTTGTTTATGTTTGACATTATAACCTTGAAAAACCAACAAGATATCATATGTTATTGGTAAAACGAATAAGCGTCAAAAACATAAAATATCTTAGCCAATAACGTGATTAAATTCAATTTCTTTCTAATAAAAAAACTGAGAGTATAAATTTTTTGAAAAATGGTTAAAATAAATTTTAATAAAAGTGAACAATTTAGGTTATTTGCTGATGGAGATGAATCAAAGTGAGTCG